TGGTCTACGCCCCACGAAATGCGCCTGCCTGAACCTGGCGAAGTGCCAAGGCTGGCAGCAACGCGGTTCATGAACTTCCCCCGAGCCACTTGTGAACGGTGAGCGACTTCGACGGTTACTCTTTTTGTAATATTTCCGGAGAGGGAGCGCCCCAGGTGCCGAGCGGCGCCCCCCCGAACCCTACAGTCCACGTGACCCTGCCATTGCCGCGTGGGACCCACCTGAACCCCTCGTGCTGAACCGCGCTGCCCTCCTTGCCAACCTTCGCCGTGCACGCAAGGGAGCTGCCCCGGGCCCTTCTGGCATGACTGCGGAAATTCTCCGCGTTGTTTTGGCGTCCCAAGTTGCGTGCGCCCGGGTGCCAGATGACATTGTGCCAGCCCTTGGTCTTGGGCGTGTCGTCGCGTTGAGCAAGCCAAATGGAGGGACGCGTGGCCTTGTTGTCAGGGACTTCCTTCGCCGCGTTATCGCCCGCGCACTGGCACAGCAGTTGGCGGCCCCTCTGGCGGATGCTTGCCGCCCACACCAATATGCACTCGACGCGGCCCGAGGCGCTAAGCCACGCGGTGCAAGCCCGATGTGCAACAGACCCCCACCTCACTGTCGTTTCCATTGATGCCTCCGCAGCCCATGATGGCATTAGTCGAGAAGCGGTGTTGCGTGAGTTGCGGGACGTTCCCAAGGCGGCGGCGCTCTTGCCCTTCGTGCGCCGCTGGTTGGATCGCACATCCACCTATGTTTGGCAACAAGGTGCGCGTACACGTCACTTGCGGCAGGCTGAGGGGGTTGAACAAGGTGACCCTTTGAGCCCGGCGTTGTTCAGCTTAGGCCTGCGTGCAGCGCTGCGGGATTTGCAGCTTGATGTCCGGCCTGACCTCGGTGAGCGCGTCCTCGCGTACCTGGATGACGTTACCATCCTTGCCAGCCCACAACGAGCCTTGGACCTCATCCGGCGGTTTGGCACCACCTCGCGTTTCGCACTCGCCTCGTGCTGAACCTGTACCAGCTGCCAAATCTGCACGACACACAAGTCGCCTGGTTGCTTTTGTCTTGCTGCGCATGCCCGCGTGCACGGTATGCCCTCTGCACCCTCCTGCTAGCGTGCGCGAATATGCAGCCGGTCATGATGCCGCTGTGCTGCGGTGATTTGACTTTCTCCTGTTCGCTGATGCTGCTGAGGGCTTGCCCGGACAAGTTGTCGCACGTGTGCAGTTGGCCCTCCGCCATGGCGGCCTGGGGCTGCGCAGTGCTGTCCGTCATGCACCTGCGGCTTTTTGGGCGTCCTGGGCTGACACTTGTCCAGCGTTGTGCAGGCGAAACCGCCCGTTTGCCCTTGGGCTTGTCCAGTCTTTGGAAGCGGTAGCAGGCGAGGTGCCAGAGGCACTTGAGCCGCTGCGGGCTGCCTGGGCTGCCTGCGACTCCTTGGCTGCAGTAGGGTTTGAATCCCCATCCTGGCACGACCTACTGCACGGTGAGGCGCCGCCTGTGCTTGGCGACGATGAGCCGCAGCTCGACAACACGCGCGGGTGGCAGCGCGCTGCCTCCCAAGCCGTCGACAGCTTTTGCCAGCGAGCCTTGTTGCGGGAACTCGATGCCCCCTTTGCAGCCCTGCTTGACTCGCTGGGCCGTACGCTGCCCGTGTATTCACTGTTAGGCCCACTTCGCCTGAACTCACTCTGGAATCCCCGTTGTTCCGTGTGCTGCTTTTGAGCTCCGTTTGCCGCCCCCGCTCACAGCAGCTAGGTGCCGGTGCCACCAGCCGCATGATATCGTTTACGGAGATCACATTGCAGCCTGCCCCAGGTCTGGTGTTTTGCGCTCACGTGGAGGCCCGCTTGAACGAGCGGCTGCCAGAGTTTGTCGGGAGGCTGGCGCCACTGTTGCAACGCATGTCCTCGTGCGTGACCTCAATGTCGCCCCTGTCCGCCCGGACGAAACGCATCGAGGTCATTGCCAATGGCTTGCCTCTCTAGGGTGGCATCCAACTTGCCGTCGACACTACACTCGTCTCGCCCCTCGCGGAGGCGGGCGTGCCGCGTCGTGACGGAGGCCGCGCGGCCGGGGCAGCTTTGCGTGTTGTAGAACGTGCCAAAGCCCGAACTTACCCAGAGCTGGCGTCCGGCCGACGATGCCGGCTCGTCGTCCTCGGCCTTCAGGTTGGCGGGCGCTGGAGCCGCCAGGCCGGTCTGTTTGTCAGGCTGCTTGCTCGATGCCGGGCCTGAGCCGCTCCTGCTGCGTCACGGGCAGCGTGCACTTCCGCTGCGCTGGTCGGCACTCCTCGCCTTTGCAGCCGCCCGTTCTTTTGCAGCCAGCCTCCCTTCCCTTCCTATCTCCGGCACAGCAAACGTTGACATCGTTGCTGACTCAGCCGAGCATTCCCCCCCTGCCAGTCGCCTGCCGTAGGTATCTGTGGGTTGTGCGTGGCCGTGGGCTACTTCACTGGGACCGCGAAGTGGATGCAGCAAAAGAGGCGTGCGGAAAAAAAAAGACATGTCTCAGCTCATGAAGTTGGAATGGTGGCACGACATCATGCGAGCCCACATGCGGATCTTGCATTTCCATGCGGTCAGGCGTGAACATGTCCTAGCTGGGGGTGCGGAGACTGTGTCTGTCCAGCACAAGACTGGGCGAAGAATTATGTGCAGGACGCGTACCTCGCAGCTTCGGCAGGGCGGGATGGAAAAATGTCCTCCAAATACTTGGTGCGTGAGAAAAAAAAATACTTGGCCGACATCTCCAGAAACCACCCTCGCGTCCCCTCTCTTCCGGGTTTTCTTGTTGCGCAGACTTCGCTTCCCGCTCCCCTTGACGGCCTCCCCATGCCGGTGCCGCAGTGCCCAAGACCCCTTCGGCGACCACATCGCTGCGTGCCCCAGATCTGGAGTCCTACCGTGCGGCGGCTCAGTTTGCAGGGAAGCTGGGGCATGCTGGGGCCACTGTCGCACTGAATGTCTCAATGTCCGTGTGCGTGATCTCAACCTCGATGCAGCCTGCCAGGATGAACGGCGGATTGAGGTCATCGCAAATGGCCTTCCCATTTGGGGCGCCCAGAGACTCGGACCTCAAACAACCGCGTTCGGTCAGTAGTGAAAAGCAACGAACAGACGTATCGCACTTATGGCGACAAGCGTCAGAGAAGCCTTAGGCTTAGCAACCTTGAAGCAGCCAGCGCTGCGTGTTTCCCCTCACGTGTGCTGGGGCCCCCCGCCGAGAAGGTGGCAGCGCTGTCGGGGCGGCACTCCGCATCGCGCGCTGCGCGAAGCTCCGCACCTACCTCGAGTTCGCTCGCGCGTACCGGTGCCGTCTGGCCGTCATCGCAACTCAGGTTGGTGGGAGGTGGAGCTTTTAAGCAGCCCGCTTCGTGCGTCTGCTGGCACGTTGCCATGTACGCTCTGTGCCACCGTCCGCCGCCATTTCTGCTTTTGCCCAGCGGTGGTCAGCCCTGCTCGCTTTCGCCGCGGCGCGGGCCTTCGCAGCAAGCCTGCTGTCGCTGCCCCTCGCTGGCACCGGCAACATTGATGGGGAGCCCAGCCCTCAGCGAGCTCCTTGCTGATTCCTCCCTGCCCCCGCCCCTCGCCAGCCGCATGCCGTGACTCGGCGCCACTGCAGAACCCTCCCTGCTTTGCAAGGGTTGTGGTAAACATCCTCAATCCGATTCAAGCAACGATTTTTTTTTTTTTTCGAAATTCCGACCAGCCGGCGATTTCTTCTGTCCCTCATATGCTTGCGAAGATGAGCACGTATCTGTTCGGAAAGCAAAAAAAGCCGAGTATGACCCTCTCTGTCCCTGCATTGTCGACGTTGAGCAAGCAAGTCCTGAAAATCCTGACGTTGCCAAGGCTTCACATCTGCCAAATCATGCTGCGCATTTTGTTGACTCGCAAGCTTAGCACAACGTGCGACGCAAGATTCGAGCTCACGCATGTTGACCGGCACCGACTGATGAAGAGTACTTCGTTTTTTTTGCGACAGACGGTGACCAACGTTGCTTGCGTGCGATTTTCTAGGATTCTAGGAAGGAGAGAACTTGTGCGCGTTTAGCAAAGGCCATCAACATGCGGGAGCAGTTCTCCGGCCTCGAGACTAAACGGTGTTGCGAAGAAAAAACGGAGGCTGCGTGCCTTTCGTGTTGCCAGCTGCTCAGCCATCCTCTATATCCTGAAACACATTTGTTGACCCAGACATCGGTCCGTGTATTAGCAGCATGTTTTCGAACGATCAGGCCAACAACATTTTGCATCGCGGGGTGACAAGTGCTTCTTGGACTAGCCGAAGATGAAAACCTTCTCATTTGACTTTGCTTGTGTGTGTGTGGAGCTGAACCAGTGGCATGTTTTCAGCCGTCATATTGATGCTTTACGTGAGGTGTGGACGTGTGCAGCACCATGTGTTCCTTCGGATGGAATGCAGCAAATCAAAAAGTTCCACAGTGCCCCGAGAAGCTTGGAGACTGGGCTGGATTTATAAACAGCACCGGTGCCGGCATCGCGGGGCAAGCCACCGGTCAGGTTCGGAAGAAGGTGGTGCCGAAGAGTGGTATACTGAAGACCCCATGAAGGAAGTACACTTGTGCAAGATCGCTGCCATGATTGCTGCAAGTCGGCTGGTGCAGGACCGGCCTCGACCAGCTGTTCCAGTCGCTCGACCAAACCGGGATGGGATGACTTTGGGGATTGCTTGAGTTTTTGTTGCGAGCGCACGGAGGAGTGCGCGAAAAAACCATCCAATGCAGAGAAAGACAGCGAGAGAGAGAAAGACAGAAACATTGTCCAGGTTGCCCGTGTTGCCAGCCCGTAACAGTGTGCCCAACCCCAGTTGCAAGCAAAAGCTTGAATCAATGTGCCTTTGTTTGACCATCTTATTTGCATTCTTTCTTTTTAACGAGGATTCAGGTGGGGATGTTCGAAGCAAAACAATGTTACTATAAGGACACAAGAGGAGACAAGAAGAGACAAGAAGGGACAAGAAGAGACAAGAAGTGACAAGAAGAGACAAGAAGAGACAAGAAACGGCAAGAAGAGGCGAAAAGAGTCAAGAAGAGGCAAGAAGAGGACAAGAAGAGACGAGAAGATACAAGAGTAGGCAAGAAGAGGCAGGAAGAGTCAAAAAGAGGCAAAAATCGGACAAGAAGAGACAGAAGAGACAAGAAGAGACCGGAAGAGAGACCAAAAGAGAGGCCAGAAGAGAGACCAGAAGAGAGACCAGAAGAGAGACCAGAGGGGAGATAAGAAGAGAGACAAGAAGAGAGACCAGAAGAGAGGCCCTTGGGAGACTTTGTGTTTGAGATAATTTTCGGGGGTTGCAGTGGCAGCAACGGCGCCCTCTTCAGGCCTCATCCGCCTCTGGTGTTTCTTGAGCTCTAAGCACAGTTCCGAGTTTTATCATGAGGGCTGACCCCATATTTTCTTGGTGGGTTTTAGATGATCTTCTCGAGGGGTATTGCTCAGAAGAGAGACAATTCTAGACAAGGGAGAGAAAGGGGGACAGTTGACGGGAGAGAACCGTCAGAAATGGAGGATGCGAAGGCGGACGACAACAAGAAGGTGGACAAAGCCTTGTCTTTGGGGTTCTGATGTGTTGTGGTCTCACCCCTAACCTGTTATTCCACTGTGTGCACAAACTAAAGCGATGAAAATAGAACTGGATGCGAGATGCTGCAATGCACTGGAAGGCTGCATGTTTTGGTACTATCCTCAAGGAAGCTGTGCGTTGTCCAGGTTGACCGTGACTTGGGCTCAAACGTCGCCCGGCCAATGGAGTAGCCAGCAAGCATGGAGAATGTTGGTGCCGTGGCTGATTTTCCTGTGATGCGAGCCAGGAGACTGAACTGTTGCTTGTTTTCGAAAGGTGTCACGCTGCACACATCTCTGTTCATCTCCGTTTAGCCTGCTGTCGAGTGCCTCAACTGATCCCAACTGCCTGTGGACAGGAGTCCGTTGAACTCACCTTGGCGCATGTCTTGGCGCCGGCAAATTCTACACAGAGAGTAGAAGTTGTTTTTTCCGTAATTGAACTCGCGTGCTCTGTGGAATGCATCGCGTGCCGACCGTGTTTGAGGGTTTCTTGTTTAGATGTCCATTGCAGGTTTCTTGTTGAGATATCCATGGGACCCCCGTGCAGATCTGAGTCTCTTAAGGCAGCCCACCCCACAGAACTCGAGCCTTACTGCAAGCCCGAATCAACAGAGTGAGACAGGTTCACCACTTTCTGCTTAGCACGCCTTTTCTTTCCGCCATGTCGTGGTATCCACCCCAAGCGTCGCCGGGCGCGAAGGCAACTGCTAAGTTTAGTTTTTGGCTTGCTGATTATGCAGCGCCGTCAGCTGATGCATGGGGATGAATTAGGCATGAACTGCCCAGACCCATATATGTATACATATATATTCTAGTAGAGCAAACAATGCCTTTCTTAAGGTGTTTCGATTGAATGATAGAGGTGTGGGGCTGCCTCAGAATTGAAAAGATTAGGGTTAGGAGACGCCACCTTATTGGGCGCCAGCGCAACTGTGCGATGAAGCCAGTTTCGCTTGTGCTTGGAGCACCATGCACATCCACCACACACAACAGAACGTACCATTTGTCGGGTGCGGCACAAAGTGAGATCTCTCGCATTGTGCGCATGTTCTCCTCCTAGTTTTCGTTGGCCTCACCTTGCCTCAGTGTTTTTGATGCTTGGAACTGAGAGGTGTTGATGCGAAACTTCCCAAAGAGCTGGGTGTCGGAAGGTGCCCGGGCAGGACACTGCCCATCTGCACAGTGTCAAGTCAGTTTTGCACAGTCCTGACACGGCAATCGGCTTGATCATGACGTGCAAGGACTCCCAGCCCGAGTCCACAAGCTCCTGTCGCGCTTCGGGGCGCTTCAAGGGGAGCCGGAGATTTTCGATGGCGGCTTCGATGTGTCAGCGGTGACTGCCATTGCTTGCTTCTTGGTAGCTTTGTGGCTTAGTGGTGCACTTTTGCTGGGTTTCCCTGTGAAAGCAACCAACCCCAAAAAGGGTTTTCCTTATTGTGCCCTATCATGATATGGTTACTGGGCTACCAAGGCTTCGAGACGGTCGAAGCTGCTCAAGCCGGGCTCCAAACTCTGTTGTGCCTTGTGTGGCAGCAACGAATCGCGAATCACGAAACACGAGCCAGAATGGCAGGCAGCCGTCCAGACGCTCTGTGGCGCCGACATGCGCACCAACACTGAGAAAAAGGCCATGCACCAACCCACAGGGCCTCACCCCTATTAAGATCTGACAAGACACCGCGGGACTTCAAATTTCTTTCATAGATTGGCATTGACGCATGCAGCGTGCAGTGACAGGCTGCTGGCAACAAGCCGCCGCAGGACTCCGAGCGTTTCTGGGCCCAGCTCAAGGCGGCCCCAGCGCCTGCAGCGCCTCCTGTGCAGGCTGCCCAACTTCCTTCATTATCCACTATCCCCTGCAGTTCAGAGTTTATGGAGCGAGGGCAAGCGCAGGCAAGCGAAGGCAAGCGAAGGCGAGGGTGACCCTTGGGACAGAGGCTCCAGCTCCTGCCGTGGCAGCGCCTGCAGCGCCGCCTGCGGCGCCTGCGTCCCGTTCTCCACCGGAAGCTTCTCGCAAGCGGCCTGTGGTGCCCTGAGGGCATGTGTGCACCATTGCAGAAGCGCACTTGCATCACTGGCACTTTCCAATTCCTAATGTGTATGATGGGGAGACCGCATGCGCGCCCGACTCCGCTAGGCGCACGTGCCTCATGGAGAGACAGAGGCGCTTGAGAATCGGTACATGCGACATGCTCTGCGGCGCTCTGCAGTGTTGCTGTCCTGGGGCAGGAGTCCCACATCCTTGTGCGCGGCTTTCCCCCGAGCTGGATTGAGCCACAGGCAGCTTGGTTCGCAAGAGGCAGTGCTGCGTGCATTCCATCGTATGCGTATGCTCTGTCTAAATTTTCTGATAGCACTGAGAGGTCAAGTACCTCTTCGTTGTGTTTGGTGGCACATCCTCGGTGGTCTTCGTTCCGGACCCTGAGTTTGGACGAGCTGCCCAAGTAACGCTGAAAGATGCGGCGCAACTGGCGAGAGCAGCAGACTCCCTGAACGAGACTGACGTGGGAACCTTGTACTAACAGATAGATGATGAGACGCCATCCTCCTTGCCGCATGCAGAGAACATCCATTTTTCTTGAACGGTTAGTGCTTTATTCCCTGACCAGCTCAGGAGATGGTGATGCACTTACAGGGGCAGCAAGTGTGAGACCAGCATGAGCATGGCGCACGGTCACGGAAGAGGGCACAGGGAGTTGCACAACCAAGGTGACGTGATAGAGGAGTGCCACATCTTCTGTTCGCACCGGACCGAGGAAAGCATCGGCGCAAGAGAGTTTGCGTGACATTCCTTCCGTGTGTACGAGAAATCCAAGGCACGTCTTGGGCAGACACGAGCAGCAGCGCCTGAATGAACAGGCTGGCGTCCACAGCGTAAGTCCTGTATGGCTTGTGTGACAGCGATGAGAAGCCTGACTTGCCCCTTCTTGCGCGAGCCTGCTTGTGGATTCTGATTCTCGATGGGAAGATTGCCCCGAGCTGTGCACAGCACAAACAGCTGGTTTGTATGGGTTCTTTGGCAGATGCGTCCCAATCATCTGGCCAGGAGCAGCGCCAGCGAAAAGCAGAGGTCAAAGCGGCGGAGAAGGAAAAGAAACGTGAGGAGAAAGAGCGTAGACGCCGCGAGAAAGAGGCGAAATGGACTTGTGCCTTGCAGGGCGGATGTCATGGTGGAAGCGTCTGCTGTGCTGACGCGCAGACTGTCTTAGAATAAGTCCGGACGCTCGGCCCGGAAGGACAAGATCTCATGTGAATTGTTAACGACCCCGAATGCACACCGCACAGGGCGAACATAGCCGACGCGATGCGCGACACGAGATCCGAACCGATGCCCCTCTTTCTCTCTTTTCATCTATTTTTTTTTTTTTTTCTCTCTCTCTCTCTCTCTTTCTATCTCTTTCTATCTCATTCTATCTCTTTTCTCTCTCTCTCTCTTTCTCTCTCTCTCTCTCTGACAACAGTTGCATCATCCTCATAACTGTCCTCACTTTTCAGGCTTCAACACCAGGCGAAGCTCCAAAAGTGACGACAGTCGCCAGGAGTGCGCACCTCAAGTGCCTCATCTTCGCGACTGTCGGCACGCGAACAAGAAGCCGGGCTCCACAAGTGAGGACAGTTACGAGGATGGCACATTCCACGTACCTCATCCTCATAAGTGCGGCACTTTTGAGACGTGAACAACATACCAAGCTTCAAAAGTCAGTCATGTTGACGGCGCACCCCACCCCAGCTGTGCTTTTGGCGTACTTGTACACAAACATAACAAGTTGAGGCTCCGAAAGTGATGACAGGTTAGAGGATGGAAGTAACTGGCAGCATTGCCTCATCCTGGTGACTGTCAGAATGTGTGGATGGCGCACCGGAAGCGCAGTTCAGGGGCCTCACGCTTTTCGGACGCTTTCGGAGCGCTTTCGAAAACGCACGATCTCGGGTAAACTCCTGCATCCCTGGAACCCCAACTCTTCAAGCAGGATTGCTCTTTCAATGCTCGATGCTTGAGGTGTTCCTGCTTGGATCTCAGAATAATCTAGAGTTCTATTTGCAATCGTTCGTTGCCCATGCACTTCTTTCGCAGCACATTTCTTCGTATTCCAATTTCCGCACACACGGCTTTGCAGTCGCATTTATGCTTGCGCGGCCTGCAGGAGAAGAAGAAAAGGCAAGCGGCAGAGCAGGAACGGATACATGAGGAGGAGCGCTTGAGGCAGGAGGCTGAAGAGAGACAGAGGCAAGACGCCGCAGAGGCGGAGCGTCAGCGCCTGGAGGCGGAAGAAGAGGCACGTTTGAAGCGTCAAGTCGAAGAGGAGGAGGAGCAGTTTAGGAGAGAAGCCGAAGAGGAAGAAGAGCGCATGCGGCAAGAAGCAGAGGAAGAGGAGGAACGCCTCCGACGAGAGCAGGAGGAGATGGAGGAGCTCCAGCGACGAGAGGAGGAGGAGCTCCGGCGGCTGGAGCGACAGGAAGCCGAGGAGCCCTGATGGCCCCAGAAGTTTCCGAAGTTTCTCGAAGATCTCGAAGTGATCCATATGATTGAGCTGTTTTATTACATGTTGTATATGACATATATACACACACATCTCTCTCTCTCTCATTATCTGCCTGTCTCTCTCTTTCTCTTTTGCCCTCCCTCCCTACCACCTGTTGTAAAGTTCCTTTGCGAGTTTTTTTGCTCCCATGTCCCATCGGCGCGAGGAGGCTCAGCGCCGCCGGCGAGCCGCAGAAGAGGCATGGCATGCGACCTTGGCACCCCTGTATCAGGTGGTAGGGCTCCCATCCTTTAAAATCCGAGCAGCGCGCAGGAGGGCAAGTTCATGTGTCTCCTAATACGGCTGCTCTGAAGGGCAAGTGGGTTTTCTAATACCTGCATAGGCAGTTTCTAGCTGGTCTTCTCGCAGTCTGGATGCAAGTAAAGACATGTCTCAGAGGCATGCAAAGACTCGGGGCTTAGATGATTAGCAAGTGAATCTGCGAGGCCGAGCAGCGCATGCGGGAGGTGGAGGAACGGAGACGAAGGGAGGCCGGCAGGGTCTCGGGTCTCGGGTCTCTACTTGTGACGACTGCACTGCAACCCTCCTTCAGGCAGAGGAGGAGGAGGAGGAGGAGAGATTTCGAAGAGAAGCCGAGGAAGAGGAGGAGCGGATGCGACTAGAAGCCGAAGAGGAGGAGAGGCTGAGAAGGGCTGAGGAAGAAGAGGAGCGCCTCCGACAGGAAGCCCAAGAAGCCTTGGAAGAAGAGGAGCTGGATAGAGCTGGATGTGTAAGAATTCGCAAGTTCCGGACAGAGCAAGTGCGAGCGGATCCATCAAGCTGGCTTCGAGACAGGAACGCAATGCTGCCGAGGCGGCACGGCTGCGAGAGCAAGCTGCGGCCGAGGAGGTGCCAAGACTATGCAAGAAACAATGTAACGTAAGAAGTTTGCGTGAATGGTGGCTCTTTCTGTTCGTCTGTACACGTAGCATCGACAGAAAAGATGCGACGGTTTGTGGGATAACAAGAAACGAAAGGCCCACCAGGGACAGCCATTGCTCGCCTGTTCTCGCATGTCTAGAGATGACTCCTCTGTCTTCGTCGCTGCTGGAAGGAGCATCGCAGGCAGATGGCTGAGGAGATTCAGCACCAGATGTCACTTGGACCGAAGCGGCATGCTTCAGCATACTTCTGGGTTCGAGGACGGCAGGTGGATGTAAACGCACAGTAGTGTACTGTATTCGGCCATTATTGCGAGCTGCAGCTCACATCAGCTTGTTCATCGGAAAAGCAAAGCGCGGCCTTTGCAGCTTGGGCAGTTGGCATGGCTGAGGCGTCTCAAGGCCGAAGAAGCTGTGCCAACGGACGAGGTGTTCGATGTGCGCCTAAAACTGTGCTCCTGAACTCTGTGCCCTTCTTTCTTAGTGTTCTTTATCGGTTCTGTGTGTCCGGGTTCAGGACAACGAGGACGTGCTTCCAACCCGGCGGCGCGAACGACGGAATCTTCGCTCCAGAAGTCGGGACAGTGGCGAGACCGGCAATAAAGTGGGGACAGCTTTTTTTGTTTTCTTTTTTTAGTGTGCGTGCGTGTGTGATTGTGTCTGGCACTTGGGAACTTATAAAAGCCTGGCGAGCATCACACCGAGGCCACGAAGCAGCAAAGCGAAAGAAGAAACAGAGGCGGAGCCCATCGAGAAGCCGTGCGCGGCGCAAGGAGATGGCTTGCCGACAGGGGCTTGCAGGTCTTGTCAGCCTGGTCTGAACGTGGGTGATGGGTCTGAAGCAGGAGAGGTCGCGGTGCGCCGTACTGCAACAACACCACGTCAAAACTGGAAGGAGCGGAAGAAGAAGCGAAAGAAGTCGGTCTCCAGATCTAGAAGTAGTCGAAGTAGTCGCCTGAGGCAAAATGGTGTTGCACGTTGTCGTTGTTGTTGGTGTTGTCAACGGACTGTGTCTTTCTGTGCTTGGAGGGGTTTATGGATCTATCTTGTTTTGGTACACCCTTTCTGGCCAAGCTGAGGGCATACAACTTGTCCCGTGGACATTCTGAGGTGGCAATCATGCCCAGCCTCGCCGGAGTCGTGGCAAAGGCTGCGAATGGCACAGGGGGCTACCATTCATCTACTGTCGAATGGACGTGAGTTGTCAGGGTGCGTGCATTGTTTGTCGAGAATCGGGCTGCAGGGCGCAAGGCGAGTTCTGCTTCCCAGTCTCAGAAGCAGGACAAGGCTTTGGAGTAGCGTGTCATTCTTCGGGCTGTGGCAGTGCGTGGGTGGCCTCTGTTAGGAGGAACGGATGCACATGGAAGCTTCCAGCAACGGTGTGCCTCCTGGCTACCAAGCCAGCGAGATACCAGCGAGTCTTCTGGTCCCTCCTCCTGGAGCTGCTCAGCCAATGAACCTGCATGGAGGATACGATTTTCTCGCAGTGCGTGCAAGGCAGCACACGGTATTTGCAGATGCTTGTTCTCGCTGGCATGCCAGGACTGCAGGCTGTCGACGCCCCGCCGGCACAGCCACCCGCGTTTCTAGACCAAGCAGCATTTCTCGGTCTTCTTCAGGAAGGCGTTGCCGCCTCGCATCCTCCTTTTGCAAATCACAGCCACCTACTTGGAGCTCCACCCCCACAGGAGCCTCCCCCAGCTCCGCACGAGCCACCCCCGACTCCACCCCCGGCACCACAGGAACGAGCAGAGCAAGCAGAGCAAGCAGTGCAAGCGGCGCAAGCAGTGCAAGCAGCTACAGCAGCTGCATCCGAGCCAGCGTCAGCAGAGCCCGCTCTGGCAGCACCCCAGGTGAAAGCTTCAGCGCGAGGCAGCTCCTCCGCACTACAAGGTCATTTGAAGGCTCAGGGGAAATTGCCGTCAGATGACTTGCTTGTTTCTCCCTCAGGTGCATTCACGATGGCTTGGGGTGCGGCCCCTGCACGCAAAGCCAGCCCTGCTGTTCCGGCGCCGGTTAACTTGTACCAGCAGCACCTGTAGCTGCAGAGATGCTGAATAAAGCTGCTTGAAGAGCCAATCATTGTCTGAATGATGGCACATACAACCTTTTTCTTGCGATCAAGGCAGTTTGCTCAATGGCAGCAGCAGCAGCAGCAGGTGCAGGCAGACACCTGTTTTTGGGGTCTTGACTGCTTGAGTTGAAAGAGATGCAGACATGCTTTGGCCAGGAGCAGCATCGCAGAGACTTGGAGCGTCAAAAGCGGGAGGAGGAGGAGTTGAAGCAGGAACTGCAGCAGCAGCTACTTCAGCAGCGGCTTGGCTGGTCATGTGTGTCCTGATCGTGCCTTCCCGATGATTTCCCATGCTGCAAGGCAAGCCAAGGCGGAGGAGGCGGCCAGGGAGGCGGAGCGCCGCGCGGAAGAGGCCGCAGAGGCCGAGCGCCTTGCCCTGGAGGCCGAGCGCCTGGCCAAGGAAGAGGAGGAAAAGAGGCAAAAGAGACAGGAGGAGGAGAGGAGAGAAAGGGAGCTTCAGGAGCCTCCGGAACCTGTGATCTGATTTCTGCAAACAGGTTCTGTAGGGTTCAGAGATGTCTTCAGAACGTGGAGTGCGCAGGAGGCCGAGGAAAGAGCAAAGCGAGCCTTGCTTGTTTAGTGACAGCTGCAGTGAGTTGTAACTTTGCTTTCGAGCGCAGCGAGCGGATGTGCGTGTGCTAGGCAGGCAGAGGAGAGGCAGCGGATCATGCAAATGTGGCAGCAGGACGGGGGAAGATCTGAATAGGATTTCAAGGCGTAGCTTGCGAAGAAATTTCCGGGGCTGCCCGATCCATACTTGTGCTGGTAGTGGGCTGAATGGAGACGCATTGTCAACTGAAGGCCTTCAAATGTCACGAGCCGTCTCAGCTCTCTGAGGAGGCAGCTGGCCAGGAGGCATCGGGAATGAGGCCGCTGGCTTGCCATGCTTGCCAATCGTCCAGAGTGTGCATGTTGTGGAAAGCCTGATTTCAGGTCGGCACAGCAGCCGCAGCCATCTGCCGACCAGCTGTCCGCACATTTCTGGGGTCTACCGGCAACTGCGTCCGCACAGCCGTTTTTCGCGCAGGGACACCTGCAGCATTTCATGGACCAGCGAGTCCCACCGCAGAATGCAGCAGCAGCATCAGCCTCGCACCCCGGCGTGCCTCAGCCATTTTCGCCACACCTCTTGTCACCGTCCGGATCCCAGTGCACACTGACGAATCGTTCGCATGGAGGCAATGGCTGTGTCATAGAAGTCGTGCTTGTCGCTCGGTTCTTTGCTTGTGCTTACAAGGCACTTGCCGCAACAAACTGCAGCAGGCGGGTCCCCGATTTTGTTAAGAGCATGCAGCTTCTGAGCATGCGGAACACCAAGCAAAGGTGGGTCTGGGCCTTCTGCGCAGCCTGGAGACGAACAGGTGCATGGCTTCAACGGAGTGGCAGGGCTCGTCGGGCGGGGGCATTGGACGGGGGCTGGACAGTGCGTCGGTGTTCATCTTTGGGAAATCGGTTTCTTTCGAACTCCAGTGGTGTCGTCCGCTCATGCCGGGCAGGACCGCGATGACCTGACTGAGGCCTCGGAGCCCGGCGCCTCACCTGAGGCGGCCGTTTGTGCGGCTGGTCTTTGCTGTGCTTGCCCCACCCCATTCGCATCCATGCGGCCGGATGAGTTTCAGTACGTCACAGTATCTGAACAGGTCCCGGAGAACGACGACGCTGACACAGAGGAGCGCCAACAAACTTGCAGCTCTGAAAGTCGGCTTGCACAGGGTTTAGTGCTTCATGATCTCCAGCTAGGCGGCAACGGTCCATCCATTGTGCCCAAAAGATCCCAAAAGGCCAAAAGGGCATCATGCTGCCATGCTGCAGGCTCCAACGGAAGAATCTGACTACGATCCCTTCGCTGGTGCAGCAAGTGCAGCGCAGGCGGCCAGCAGACAGACATGCGTGTGTGGCATGCGAAGCTGCTAGCTGGCAGGCCTCCCGCCCACCAGCACGTGAGAAGGACCAACGTTTGTACGGGTAGGTCAAGGCATGGCAGCTGACCACACGCGGTGCACGCTCAGGATTACAATCCTTTCGAGCAGGCAGAGAGAGACGCGGCAGCTGCCGAGGACCCTAGTACTCGCCGCATGAGCAGTCGAAACCATGCGAAGGCGTTGCTTTATGTTGTGGACATTTGTGAACCATTGTGGCGCAGGATGACGAAAACGATGAGGGAGCGTTTGAATCGCTCATCGATGCTTGGGTAGAACACAGCCGACTTGGGTGGGTCCATGATGCTCAGCATGTATCCTTCACACAAGCTACAGTGGACCGGTCTGTACTCAAAAAGGAAATGCTTCGAGCAGCTGAACGGGGGGGCGGCTCAGCCTCTTCCAGGCCCTCGTTCTGGCATGTGGCATCTTTCCAAAGACTTGGGAGGGTCTCCTGCCAGGTCTGCTGACCCTGCGCCTGCACCGCAGGCGACGCAGGATTCGCGACCAACGGACACAGGTGGGCTGGTCATCGAAACGTGCCAAGCAAGTCTAAACTGGGATGCTCGCAGGGTCGCTGTCTCATGTCTAAGTGCCAGGTGAGGAGCACTTTGCAAAGGCCAAAGCCAAGCCCAAGACCGAATACCACTTTAACCGCGCCACTCAGCGATGGGAGCCAAAGGCCTCAGACTGCATGTCGCTCACTTGTATGTGTTCGGATTGAAGATCGATTCCTGCGGCCAGCGGCGACAAGAGGGATGACAAGTAGAAGATTGTGGAAGTGCTTGATGGCGCTGTCGGTGTACCGGCACAGGCTGCGCCGCCGTCGCCTCCCAAGCAAGAGCCATTCCGCCCTGGAACCTTGGAATGAACGCAAACTAGGAGGCGCAGTCGTTGGTGTTCCAGATTGTGCCTTGTGCCGGAGTTTGCCGGCCTGACGCAGTTTTGGACACCGGATTGCCTATTTTCGTAGTGATGTAGTGATCACTGGGCGGTTTGTGTGTGAGTTGGTGTGAGTGGCAACTGTTTGCGTGGAACTTGCTATCCCCAGCCGAAGAGCCACCAACATGGGCTTGCATCCTCCACGACCACACAGCGGCTTCGGTTTTTGCACCCTTTGCGCTCCCATGGGCTTCGTTGTACTTTCGTGACTCTCGTGCCCTAAGATTTGTGATGCATACGGGTCTCGACGAATATCCGAGTACCCGCGGTTGTTTGTCAAGCTCTCACATGAACATGAACTTTGTGTGATTAGACTTCTTTTTGGATCTGTGCTCAGATTTGCAGTGGTTTTTCCAACCATCCAAGGCCCCGCCATGCCGCGACAACGGCCGCAATACCAGCAGCCATCTGGATGATTTGGATGATTTGGGTGCATTGAAACTTCATGTACGTATGTTTCACTTATATTTCCGTGACTGCATTCTACTGCATTGGTCGCCACCCGCTGTCCAGGCAGGTCGTGCCACCACGGCCCATGGCGCCGCAAGCGCCGCAAGCACCACCGCGGAGGCACCCAGAGATCTGTGGAGCTTGCTGCGAGAATTGACGACGAGCCTCTCTGACTGCAGGCTCGTCATCGCGGAGTGCGAGGCGGAAGCACGGGCGGATGCCGCGCGTGGCAGCTGCAGCGTGGCGCAGGCCAACCAGCGGCACATGCGAAGTTTTCGCACGTCTCGGCATGTCCCGGCCACATCTTCGCTGGAGCGCATCGTCGTCACCCCCACCTGTCTTTCAGGCCCTTGCTGTGCGCTTGGCCCTGCGCTTCGAGTCCAGACCGAAGGATATCCTGGTGAGCTTCTAGGCTGCAATGCCTGTGTATGCTTAGCTGCTTAGCTGTCACGTCAGCTCATGGCTGAAAGCAGGACGGGGTTGTTAAGTCTGCTGGCCCCTGAAAGGAGTAAAGGCTTGGTGACCTTGGTGTGTTGACCGTGCATCAGAGGCATGAGTGAAGCTGGCCTTCCCGCTGCCAAAGACCAGCGCTCCACGGTGAAGACCATCATGAGACTCTGCCACCCAGACAAGTGTTCCTCGGCCTTAAAATATCTGACAATGACAATGTGGCTTATTCCTTCGCGTGCGGACGTACAGCACGAAGTAGTGCAGCACATGTTGGCAAACAACAAGCTTGTCCGAGCTGATATGTTGCGGTGGTGTTGTCCAGTTCACTTCGGCTTTTCACCTCCCTCCGCCGTACTTCCCCGATTCCAGAGATAGTGAAATACGTGTCGACCAACGCATGCTTATTCTAACGCCCATGCCTTTGTGGCAGCACGCTTCAATGCTGTATTTTCCGGTGCCGGCAAGGGCATCTGAGCTGTGTGTGTCCTGAGGTAAGCATCCCGAGGCCAAGCGAGCAATGCAGATCTTGGGACCTCTATTGTCCTGAGGACGTCGGCATCTGCTCGTATCCTTCGAGACTGCAAAAGAGAACTGCAGTTTTTGAAGTTTGTCCGAAGAGAGCAGCACGAGGCCGCAGATTCCTTCCCCGGACAAATAGCAGCCGAGTCCTGGCTTCCGAGGTGCCGGTGGCACTGCTGCGAAGTGCCATTGGTCGGAGCCGTTCTCAGTCTCAAGAGGGAGCATGGTGTAACAATGTGTAAGAACACTCTGCCAATCTCATCGGATCTTTGTGCCCTTCACTTCACTCTGCCAAATGCTCGACATCTTGGACCTTGAGATTTTGACTTGCGTTGTCCATTGTCGAAGCGGATGCCTGCTTTTGGCCCAAGGTGAGTCGAAAAAACTGCGACTTACCAGTTCATGTCTTAGCCCTCTTTTGAGCATTTGAAGCAACAGCCGCCATCGAAGTCGACAGCTATCTGTGACACGTGAAGTAAGAACTTCTTCGCGGCATGGCCCGCTTTCTGTTCTTGGCGGCTGCCGGGAGCTGTGTTGCTACGTACTCACACGGCAGCTGTCCCCTGACACACAGGACTGCAAATGTTATCAGCAGGACCGCCAAGCTGTGCAATGCTGTGTGCCTGATACTTAGTGCCAGGACTTGCCAGGCACTCAAAGAGGAAGCCCACGGCGAGCACAGCATACAGCTCCTGCAGCACACACGAGACCGGTACGGCCGACAGCGCGCCCACGACCCCAGCAGCTTCTTCAATGTGTCTGCCATCTTGGCGGATAGTCCCGAAGGCCTGCATGCAGCCTTCTGTGAGTCACGTCTGTCTGCCTATGGTTGCCCGTGCAACATGGTTTGCCTAGCTCGTGATCCGCTATCACTTGTCAGGCACTTTTCTGTCGCGCATGTCCATCCTCGTCCAAGCTGTCGGTCTGACGCGACTCGGAATGCAGCGTGTTGATGTGTCGCCCTGATGTATGCGATGCGTTCATACGTTGCCCGTGTGGCCCAGAACAGTTTAGTCTTAAGCAAGGCAGTGGCAGGCTTAGGAATGCTCGACTTAACAGGGAACTGAAGCACGTGCAACGACTCGGAACCTTGAAGTCGCAGCATCTCTAGGACATGGTGGAACGCGGTTCACTTCTGGTCTGCTTTGTTGTGCTTCAAGACTACTTCATCAATCACACTTGCAACGCTGAGATACAACACCACCACACCGAAGTTCCAGCCGGAACTTGCCGATGCTCACATATCTTCAGGCCTGTGCAGATGTTTGGCATTGTTTCACGACCCTCTTTCCTGCAGTCGCCGGCAATTGCTGGAATTAGTGTGGCTGGCGCCTGTCCGCGTTGGCCACCGAGGCTTATGGAATGACTTCGGTTTCGTATGTAGAAAGGTTGATGAAAAGGCTCGGCCACAGCGGCCGTGGAGTGCCAGACGGCGCTGGGAGTACCGGCCTGCAGGCCCAAGATGCTTCGGATCAGGGGTGGTCATGGTCTGTGTCCAGGCTCTGGCACCTGGTTTCGGAAGAAGCAGTTCGACCGGGACCCCGACAAGGGTGGCGTCTTTGCACGGACATTTGTCAATGACGAGCGGCGCTCCGCGGTGGTCGCGTTCAAAGGCATCTGCGACACCTTAGGCAGGGCACGCAGACCATTTCAGTGGTCATTCGCAGATTATGCCACCCTGCTGTAGATGTACTGCCATGCTGAGGTCTCGAACAGTGCGTCATTGATGCCTGCAAGCTCAAGAGCATCGGCGCCTACGGTGACCTGGTGGACCTGGTGGACATTGCGTTGGCACAGTTGTGTTGATTCACGGTTTTCATGGTTGCCGGGAGGACGGTTCTGCTAGATATTGCGTCTTAGCCCAAGACGGCGGCATGCCAGCCTGCTGCATGACTACTCCTCCCGCTACTTTTACATCTTCTTCTTACACTCCTGCCATCTCCTGCCAGTAATGACACATGCTGAAGCATCAGCTCACTACTGCCTCAGTCAACCTTTTTGCATCACCTTCCTAGCTGCCACTGCTGAACTGAAAGTTCATACGGGCTGATGAATTAACGGTAGTTCAGGGTGGTTCAGGGTAGTTTCCTTGACAGAAGAGCTGACTGAGACTGAGACGTAAAATCGGATCGGAACACTGTTCACAGCTGGGATTCCTTCCCCGAGGAAACCTCTCGGAAGCTATGGCATCAATCGTGGGAGCAGTGCCCTGTCCTTCAGAGGGGAAGAGGGGCTGGGAACTTGTCTTTGTCATCTCATGTTTTGCTTTATGTTTCAACTGCTCGGTTGTAGAGCCATAGGTCGTCATGGTTTCACATGTTGGTGAGGACGAGCAGGCCTGCGAAGGCTACAAGGAGCACTTGAACTACGTGGAGCAGGCTCTGTTCTCTTGAGACAATAGTTGACAAACGCCAGAGCAGTTTTGCCGCACGCATTGCTGGACAGAGGCCTGAAGGGACACTATCGTCCACATGTCTTGCGTCCCTGCCGTTGTCGCTTATACTCCCGGTATGGACGCACGTCACAGGAGCTGTGTACGGAAGTACTTGTGTAGCTGCATGCCCGTGCGTCTTGGCGCCTTCAGAGACATGATGCCACCATGTGATTGCTTTGGTGCAATGGTTCTCCACATTTCTCCACGCGCCATCCGCTCATGCTTGCTCATGAGAACCACGTGGCAAAAACTATGGAACTTTTTGTGTGGTTTTGGATGGTAGCACAAGCTTATTCCTTTGACATGACATTCGCCGTGGATGTGCATCCAGTGCAGGCCCTGAGCTACGCTGAGATGGTGCGCGCTGCACTGGAAGATTACGAAATCATGATGACCGGCCATTCCATGGGAGGCACAATGAGCCGCATTCTTCCTGAAGAGAGATCTCCTAAACAGTCAAGAGATGCCCGGCTGCCTATTGCACATTTTCATGTGGAAGTCTGTCGAATGCCTGGCGGTGACTGAGATGACAGGTCTGCTGGCAATTGTCACTGCTTCCCAGATGGGCCTCCAAGCGTTGACGTTCGCACCGACTCCCTTTCACAACGTTTTGAAGGAGGAGTCTTCGTGCGGAACCCTCTTGCCCCAAGCTTGAACTCCAGAAGACTGGACCTCAGCATGAAGCTTGCTGAGTTATTCGAGCCTGTACTACAGTCACGGGGCATAGTTCGTGGGGCTTCGGGACAGATCACTTCATGCAGCGTATGCAGCGTCGACCACGGTTTCAGGATTTTAGCACATCTTGGAGGGCTTTTGAGAACATCTTGGAGAGCTCTGCTGTCCGGTCTGTTGCCCTCGCACTTGCGATGCTCGTTTGCCGTTTTCCGAAACGGATGCCCGAGAAGTGTAGAGGCTACCCTGGAATGATTCCGCACGCCCGTTTTGCGAGATCCAAGCCGCTGCAACTAAGCAGCGCCACTGATGTAAGGCCCCGAGAAATGGAGACGGGAGAGACCCATGCATCAGGAGTTGAACCTCACGGACGAGCAGATCTCTCGCATGGACGCTAAGGACCTGGTGCTCTGCCGGAAAGGAGATGCTGTGTGTGTGTGTGTGTGTGTGTGCGTGGGTGTGTGTGTGTGTGTGTGTGTGTGTGTGGGGGGGAGCGGGGGAGTGGCGACTGCAGCCACAGTCGGTAGCTTTGGAGAGGAGAGGACCCGGTCGGTTCCTCCCAAGCCTGCACTGCCTTTCCCATTCGAGAAGATCAGTTTGTGTGTGTGTGTGTGTGTGTGTGTGTGTGTGTATGTGAGATGAAGTGTGTGGTCACGTGTTGCTCCAGACCTGTCAGTCTGACAGCCAGTCCCGAAAGACAGGTCGCAACCTGCGACCCCTTCGATTGTGGCATCAATTCTGCATACGTCGACGATGCGCGCCGTGGATCTAAGACGTGTCTTTACATGGATGCTCAGCTGAACTTGGTTGTGGTCGTTGTGGTGCTTGTTGTTTGTGTTGTTTTGCTTTGCTTTGCTTTGCTTTGCTTTGCTTTGCTTTGCTTTGCTTTGCTTTGCTTTGCTTTGCATTATTTCGTTTGTTTGTTTGTTTGCTTTTTTGTTTGTTTGTTTGTTTTCTCCTCCCTGGGGAATGTGTTGTGAACTGTCGTAGTCTGTACGTGTTGGGCTACAGCCGCCCTATCATTCCGTGTCAAACATATGTGTGAGCCGGACCCTCGCGCTCACTTGCAAGATTTGTTTATGCAACGTTCTCCTCGGAAGTGGAGGTTTGATTTTCACATCGCTCCTCCGCTCAATTAAGCTCTTTATGCTCGAAGTTCACCTCTGCTGTGACATGGTCACGCGAATGCTGGGCTATGCTCACTGTAGCACAGACTACGCAAAGCGTCAAAGTCAAAATGTTTTTTTGTTTGTTGTTGGTGGCGGCGGTGGCGGCAACGGCCCCATAACGGATCACGTTTTTCTGGTCGTCCTAGCGTTGGCAGGGGTGGCAAACTGGTGAAGTTGGGGGTGGTGGTGGGGGTTGTAGGCCGTCTAAAACGTAAAACGCAATTTTGCATTTCTTGGCTTAACCGTGGTTTTTGTGTGGGCCTTGGCCCGAGAATCCATGCCTGCACGATGATTACGTCCATTTTACCAGTGCGTGCACCCGACCTCCAAATCCTGCAGTGCCCCCCTGCCCCTTCGGCCTTGCAAACAGCCAGCGTGGACTCTGGGACTACGGGCACAAGCAAAAGGGGTACAGCAGGATGCTTCATTTCCACGTTGTTCTGATCGTTGTCCTCGTCATTGTGGTCGTCAATGTGAATCGTGGTGCATGCGCTGCCAGAGGCTATTGGAAATGAGGGTCCGAAATTGCAACTGTTTGGAGACCAAGGACACTGATGAACCATCTCCCTGCAAGTCTTTGCCGGCCCCATACGAATCAGCAGGCCATGTTGTGGTACGGAAATGCGCATGCGGCTATGCCCATGTTCAGCATCCCAAGGCTAAGAAGATTGAAGCTCACGAGACAACCAGAGTTGCTTGTGGGTGTATCGCAGTGCAAGAGACAGTGCTCACACAAGCATTCTTGGTTTGATAAGGTGCCCACAGTAACGACCATTCAAACTTCGGCCCTGTGATCCTTCAAGCCTGTATCCTTCCGGACAGGATGGCGAGAGCAGCTGCACACGAATGGCTCCGGCCTGGCCAGCCTGGTGCCAGCCGCGCAGAACTTGCTTTGCAAGATGAGTGGCCCAGCTGACAAACGAGAGACCGATCTTCCCGAAGTACATGGTGCGGATGCCCGTAAATTGCGGCCTGTAGGCCATGCAAGTGATGATTCTCCTTAGTTTCCAGATTCGTTGCACCACTGTTGCACCCGTCTGTGGCTGTGAGTGTTGAGGTGCTCATCAGTGGCCGCGTTACGAGGCTCAGCAGTGCTGAAATGCATGGACATGGCATTTGCAATGTACAGTTCACGGCAGAGCCTTTGGCAGCTAAGCCGCTAAGCCCGTGCAGCCGAATCGTCAGGCGATTGTGCTCGAACAGGGCAGCGATGGTGCACCAAGCAACCTCCCAGTGGCGGGGTCTGCACTCCAACAATCCCATGGCAACTTCCAGCATGTGTTGTCGCGCCCGATGTGCCTGCAATGTCCGCCATGGCCGAGGTGTGCAATACAGATTTCAGCGTTCTAGACGTTTCTGACGGCATGTGGCAGAAGCTGGATTTCCTTCGCACATGGTTTGGAAGCTATCGGCCTGGCTAGCTAAGCTAACCTGGCAGCTAATCTGGCTGGGAATATGCAACTGCATGTGGTACACAGTCCTGTCAGCAGCACCGCGCAGAACGGATGCCACGGTGCGTCACAATGCAATTGCATGGAGAGAAGATCGCATCTGTTTTCTCACGTGTGCTCTTCGTGGAACAAAAGCTTGTTGTTGTTTACACATTGCGGCGTTGGTCCGTGTTCAAGGCGAGTGGCTCTTCGGAGCTGTGGGTCGTGTGACCAGACTTCCCCCAAGATCCCGAGTTGCCGTTTGTTTTGGGCTCAAGCTGAAATTACGGGTGCTTAACGGTACCGAGTTTTGCCCTTGTTTGAAATGGAGACTGCCGGGATCGATGCTTTCAGCAGTCCAATCTTCCTCACAGCCAGCGGGCTGTTGCAGGCATTTTGCATCATCAAGCTCATACGCGCATCGATGGAACACAGAGACTATGTTTTCCGATTCTTGCAAACTGTTGTCATGCATTCGTGCTGGTTGATGAATTTGTCGGCCGGACCGAAACATGCGGCACAGGGTATTGCAAGAGAAGTCTGTCGTCTTCGGCTGCGCTTAGCACATGGCTACTTGTATTTCCTCGTGGTCACCACAGGGTTCTCAATCATATCAGTGCAGATTGGCATTTTGAGGAATCAGCAGTCGAACGCGCCGCCAGCATTTTACTGGACAATTCTGCTTTTGTTCGGCTTCTCTACTGCGCATCTGCTATTTCCGACGATCCTGCAGTCATCAACACTGGATGTGCTTTACGTGGCCACTATGGCGGCTGCGGCATTTTTGCTGAGTCCTTGGTGTACGCGTGCAGACGCGATCCCTTACATGTCGATTGTCCTGCTTGCTTTTTTGCGGCTTCCTGCAAGTAGCTTTGCGACGAGGCCTTCCATTGCAGTGGCTGGAAATGTGGGTGTTGCCATAGTCATGATGGTAAGAACCATGGTTGACTTCGATGATTCGCTTTGCGATGGAAGTGTCGGCACCAGCTGCAATGTCGGCAGAGACATTTATTTCGAGCGTGCTGCTCTCGTCACTGAAGTATCCTCCTTCTTCCTGGTTGCAGGTATTTCTCTTTCGGCGGAGGCGGGTTCAGCAGCTTTCGAGAAGTGGTGCTGGTGTCGGGGGGGTTGAGGGCCAGGCCTCGCCGCGGCCAAGCCCTTATTTCACATCTTCGATACCTCACGTCTTCGATACCTCCTGATCAACGTAGATACTCTCACAAGTTTCACAATCAGGTGCCCGATTCAGTTCCAGGTTCCTCAAAGGGATAGCTATTGGGCTTGCTGGGAACCCTAAACCCTTTCTTCGTCAGTTCAGGTTTCCACAGGTAGGGGTAGGGGGTAAAAGAAGCGGACTTTGGGTGGATTTGATTCCAGTTCTGTGGCCGTTGGGTAGAATACTACTGATATCCTGGTGCTGCGCAGGCAGTGCTGCGAAGGACCGTGCAGCAAGGTCGCGAGTACAATGAGGCGACCAATGAACTTAGTGCTGCGACGTCTCTCCTGCGGCTGACTTGTGACGCGGTCGTCGAGCTGGATGAGGACCTGGGATTTGCGGGCGTCAACATATATCAACATGCATCCCGCCGGAAGATTTTGTCAAGGTCCCACACCAGTTGAAACCCTTGTAGGACTTCTGCCTCACAGAGCATTCTCCGGAACTTGCGGCCATTCTCCTACGAGATCGACCTGGCTCCACGCTGGCTGGGGTAAAGTTCACAGACTTCGTGGCCACACCTGAGGAGGCTGCCCAGACGGCCCGTTTGTTGAACGGATCAAACGGACATGAGAACTTCGATGATCAGGCTGATCAGGCGGGCGTGTCTGCCCACGCCTTCCATACTCGCCTTGTGGACACCAACTCGAGCAAATTCCGTACGGAGGTTTTCCAGGTCAAGTACTGCAAGGTGGGTGATGCCGTGCGTCATCTCATTGGGTTGCGTGAGATCACCGACCAGCAGTCCTTGGCCAGACAAAGCGTGACACTCCCTGCATGTGATCCTGACGACTCGTCCATGTCTTGTCCATATAGACTTTTGGGTTCTGCAGATGGTTCGCCGGTGGCCCAGGCTAACAACCGCTGCTCATCTGCAAAGTCTATGTCAGAAGGCGAAAAGGAAGTTCGGCCCATCGTTTATCTGACGCTGGGTAACCTCACGGGATCGTGCAGCGTGGTGGAGGCATCTGTTTCGGCTTCGAGCCTGGTTGGAATACGAGTGACCGAGCTGTTTCCTGGCATGGGCTCGCAGTCGTTGGAAGGTCTGTTGGCAGAGGTGGACCGCTGCGAGGTCGCAGAAGAAGTAGGTCTTCTGGCCCAGAAACAGCACTTCTTCAAGGAATGGCTGGTGCAGTGGAGCCCAGGGCAGACTGATTATGTCGACGGCCTGGTACATATATTGAAATCAGACAGTGGTTCGCATCAGCTACTCCTGTGCTGCAGGGCAGCCAATTTGTCGCCGCTTGCGTCGCCAAGTGGGGTTTCCTCAGAGGCTCCGAGACAACAGTCAGCTGCGTCAGCTTTCTCCATCCTTCCCGGCATGCCCTTCGAGGACAGGGCCCCGTCGCTGCACTGAGGGAGCTCGAGTTGAGCAGGATCCACGGTTCTGGCTCTCTAGAGCTAGGTGGAGCTTAGCCTAGAAACACGCCATTTCTGTAAGCAGGCCAGTGTGTGATGATGATGGTGATGATGGTGATGATGATGATGATGGTGATGATGTGACATAGATGGTGTTTCAATTCTGCAGATTTCTGAATTAGTTGTTTCCACGGCACCGAAAGCAAAGCTTCATGCCTTGGCAAATAATTCTTCGAGAGGTGCATGGGCCAGAGAAGATTCCTTAATCACTTGTTCTTCGACTCGATAAGTCGTCGAGAACATGCAAGGTTTCAGTGGGTGTAGTTGCCGCAGTGCGTACAGCAGTTGCTGCTGCCGCGGGCACTCCGGCGGCCGTATTCAAACATTCATCCCTTTCTCGGACTTGGTTCGGAGAGTCGGTGCCTAGTACCTCCGCTAGGAGTTTTCAGGATGACCATCCTTCGAATCATGTTTGACCGACAGAGATGCACAGACTTGCTGAAAGGCTGAAAGGTCCGAAACAAACAAGCTGTGCATACCAATGCTTGGAGCAAGAGAGCACCCCTGCAGGCGTTGCGCAGTTTAGTCGCGTGGCCCATGGCCCAAGACACAGTGCATGGTTGGGCCTGTGCCTGGTAATTGGCCAAGTTGGCCAACATGATGTTGCCTTGGAGTCCAGCGGGGCAGATGACATGGCAAGTCGTGGGTGTTGTGGGCACTGATCCCTGTGAAACCCTACAGGGAGCGACCTGCTGTGTGGCCGTGCCCGTCTCCGTTGTTGCACTGCCTTGCGTCCAAGCTCTGGGCAAACCTCATCAAGCCGGGCTACAGCGGCAACGTCCAACCCTGGAGGCGGTGGATGACACACAGTCTGAGGCGAGTGCGAAGACAGAAGCTTATTTGCACCGATGGTGTACTTGTGTAACACAAAAGTGGTGCAGGGTTCGCAGGAGCTAGCAGTACAGGACCCGTAGGAGTATGGGCAGTATAGGGGTTGCGGGTAGGCCGCTTCTCTGCCACTCAGGGTAGGCTGTCTGAGGGCAGCTGGACCACAGCTGCCTCTGGACAGTTCTCTGGTTCTCCTCTTCGCGGACGGGTGTGGCTTAGTTATAATAGTTATAATGACACCCACTTGTTTTGCAGACCATGGGAACGTCAGATGTTTCTGCGGTTCCTTATGAACTTGCGAAGTTGATGAGGTGGGACCTGTCCAGGAAGCAGCGGGGATGCCGGCAGGCAGAGCGGTGAGATGTTGTGAATGTACATGCATATGAAGCCTCCTTTGCGAAGACTGCTTAACAGCATTGCAAGGTACAAGAGGCGATTGAGAAGGGGAGCCATGAACAACGGAAGCGGCTCGCAGCAGAACTCAAGGGCCACGTGTGGAAACTTGGCGAGAGCCCAGAAGCCCTAGAAGCCCCATCAAGTTCCTCAAGTTAAGGCACGCAAGTCTCCTGCCGTGCTTTCGAGAGAGAGAGGGGATGATGGGTTGGGGAAAGTCTGGGACAACTCACGCAGGCAAGCCATTCATTCGCCAAGTGCCAACTATGTGCTGCAGAAGGTGATCACAACATTGGGCCCGGATTGTCAGCTGCCCACTTGGAACTGAGTTGAATTTATCATTGGTGGCCATGCATAGCCCAACGAACATCCTAACGCAAGAACAGAGAGAGAGAGAGAGAGAGAGAAACCTGCTGTGCAGAAGAAGAAGAAGAAGAGGAGGAAGAGAGCGAAGAGCGGAACCCGCCCCCGGCTTGAGTCAGTGACAGTATCAAGGAGCGTGCAAACATGGGACCGAGAGGAGCGTCATAAGGGGCTGCTGTGGTTGCAGGTGCGTTTTTAGTGGGGCCTTGCTACTCTTTTCCATCAGTGGAATCTTGTGGGACCAGAAAACCTGAACGTCTTAGAAGTGAGCTTTGTCTTTGTTCTTTGGGGTGAGTTCAGGGATGCAAGTGGTCTCCTTGCCTGGACTTCACGTTTGCAGGTGTGACACTGTGTAAACGTTACCTGGGGGTGAAAGAAGTTCGTGCTACCGGCGGCGTCAAAGAAAGAAAAGAGCCCACGTCTGGAAGAGCAAGGCAGGAAAGTCAGCTGCCCGGCACACCTTTTGGGGAGGCTATGCCGTCCTCGTTGTCCAGTCGAGGCCAAACTGGACACAAGGGGGGGAGGGAGCCAGGACATATGCCCTCGCAAGCAGCAGAGACAGTAGAGGAACAAGCGGGCGACACGTGGGAGGAGCAGACGGGTGGACTGGAGCAAGCGGGTGGGGGCAAAACACGTGCACGAGCTGAAACTTGGAACAAGCAGAGCTGGGAAGAGTAGCCCGAAGGCTGCGACTGGAATTGCGGCGTAAACGAGGAGGAGGAGGAGGAGGAGGAGGAGGAGGAGGAGGAGGAGGAGGAGGAGGAGGAGGAGGAGGAGGAGGAGGAGGCGGCGAAAGTGGACAGCGCCGGGGCCCCACAAAGGGACGCAGACTCGTCCGAGGCAACAGTCGGCGGTGCAGGAAGAAGAGGCAGGTGTGGGAACGAAGGCCGGCACGTCAAGCTCAGGTACTGAGTGGTAGCCTGAGCAGGAGGAGTGATCGCCGAACCCGCTAAGCGGGACATGACGGCACCTCTTTTTGGCGGGGCGGGCAGCCTTCGGAAGGCTGTTTGCACCAAACCTCCGCCCGGGGAAGTTGAGGAGGCTTCGGAAGGTTCGGTGTCTGAATTCGTGGTTTCTGGGGGGGAGACTTCGTGGTAGGTATGTCGTCGTATCTCACTTCAAAGTTCCAACAGAGCTTAATTGAACCTTTCAGTGTAAGTCCGTGTACAAACCAGAGTCTTCGATGGTCATTCTCGTAAGCATTCGTAAGCTAGGAATTCTGACTTGGAATTCTACGGCAACAAGACATGCCTCCCCCTCCTGGTTGGTCGTACACGTCCCAAGTGAGGATGTTTTGAGGGGCGTTTTTCGAGCACCTTGCGCGTTTCCCCCTCGAACGCCCGTGTTTGTTTTTTCAGAAAAGCCGCCCACCCCCCGCCTGTGAAACTCGTCACCACAACACCTGGGGGCGCGCGGACTGCACGGGGGTTCGTCCTCGCGCGGTCCCAACAAAGAATGAAAGCATGAAAAAATGAAAGAATGAAAGAATGAAAGAGCGAGCGGGCGAGTGAGAGATCGAGAGATCGAGCGAGCGAGAGAGCGAGAGAGAACCAGCCCAAGGCGGGTGATAGGTGTCCGACTCAAGGCGCGGGATCGCCAAAGAAAGGAAGAAAAAAGGAAAGTAAGAAAGGAGAGAGTTTAAGAAGAGTTTGAGCTCATGGGAACCACGGCACTTTGGTTGACTCTCCCGCGACACCGCCGACACTCTCGTGTACCTACAGGGGAAAGCCCAATGATAAGGGCGCGTGTGCTAATTCGCGGGGAATCTCATCCCGCTCCAGATAGCATTGCACCTTCTTCCAGACAGCTTGATCTTTTCCTTGAAAGAGAGGGTACTGTCGGATGCGCAGGAGCTCAGGGGGAGTGAAGCCCTTCACAGGGGGGCAGGGGGGGTCCTGATATCAAATTGGTGTGTGTGTGTGTGTGCTCCCCTCAGGCCCGGCCCCGTAGAAGAAGAAGGAGAAGAAGAAGGAGAAGAAGAAGAAGAAGGAGAAGAAGCATACCAAGAAGAAGAAGAAGAAGAAGAAGAAGAAGGGGAAGAAGAAGAAGAAGAAGAAGAAGAAGAAGAAGAAGAAGAAGAAGAAGAAGAAGAAGAAGAAGAAGAAGAAGAAGAAGAAGAAGAAGAAGAAGAAGAAGAAGAAGAAGAAGAAGAAGAAGAAGAAGAAGAAGAAAGAAGAAGAAGAAGAAGAAGAAGAAGAAGAAGAAGAAGAAGAAGAAGAAGAAGAAGAAGAAGAAGAAGAAGAAGAAGAAGAAGAAGAAGAAGAAGAAGAAGAAGAAGAAGAAGAAGAAGAAGAAGAAGAATAATAAGAAGAAGAATAAGAAGAAGAATAAGAAGAAGAGAAGAGAAGAAGAAGACAAGAAGAAGAAGAAGAAGACGAAGAAGAAAAAGAACAAGAAGCAGCAGAAGAATAACAAGAAGAACAATAAGAATATTAATAGGAAGAGAGAATGCAGTTGAGGTTTGTCATTGACGAGCTTCTGCAACAGGGGCCGGAGGCAATTTCACCTATGGCATGTAATGAGCACCTTGGATCTGCATGATCAAAGTCACCACAAGTACCAGCTTCCGCATCACCAGAGCAACTTGAAACACTGTCACTATCACGAATTGTGCCAGAAATCCAAAATATTGCAGCCCGTTGATTTCCCAAGGTATGGTTGCAGAATCTTGCAGCGACTGCTCGAAGCCTGCAGCTGCAATCAGACAGGAGGCCGTGTTTGAGTTCGCTTGCTTGAAAGCCTTCAGAGAGAGAGCAACACGAGAGCTGCCCTGAGCTGTCAGGAATCGCGGCAATCCTCCTCAAGCATGTGCTTCTCGCGCAAAGTTGATTGTGCAGAAGTTTGAAAGGGCTGTAGGTAGCCCTGTTCGAGTCCAGGCTTCGCGGCGATCTCATGCAGATGTTGATGCCCCGTGTTTCCGTGTGTCTTGGATGGCTGCCAAGGCTGCCTTTGACGAGGCATCGCTATGGCAACTATGTGGCGGGCTCAGGTTGTGATCCCACATTCGACTGTTCCTATTTGTTGTGGCAACTGCCTAGCCCAAATAGGGCTGAAATGCTGACTGGGTTCAGAGCACACAGGAGGGGGCAGAGGCTGAGGTGATTCAGCAGCTGCTGCAGCATGGCAGCCCCAAGCACGTCCACGAGGCAGAGCCAGGGAATAACAGGTGTTGCAATGTGTGTTGAACAGTGCGATCCCGTACTTCCCATCCTTAAGCCGACGCTTTGCACCCTTGAAAGCACCAAAACCCTGCAAAGGCTTGGGGTCCCGGCTAGTGCACGCCACCCTCCATTGACATGAAGACAGGGCTCAGATGGGCTGACATGGGCTTCGTAGGTCTGCAGCGCCCTGCTC